AAATACTGCAAGCATGTGGTCCAAATCGATGGGACTTTCTTGTATGGAAAATACAAACAAGTTTTATTATTGACAGTCGTCCAAGATGGCAATCGCAACATTCTTCAAGTTGCTTTTGCTCTTGTCGAAGGAGAAGATATAGATTCTTGGGATTTTTTCCTCCAAAATTTACGTGCACATGTTATTACGAGGGAAAATATCTGTGTCATTTCAGATCGCGGAGCTGGGATCAAAGCAGCAATGGAGTCTTTGGGTCCAATGTGGCAACCACCCTTTGTCCAACATAGGTATTATCTTCGACACATTGCTGCGAACTACCATGGAAGGTACAAGAAGAATGATGAGCGTCAATTAATTGTGCGCATGGGTAAGTGAAACTAACGTAGTTTGTTTTCTTTCGATCGTTTTAATTTTGCAAAGAAAGTAGGTTAGTAAGTTATACATTTTTTGATCAGGTTACGAACTACTTCCTCGAACGTTTGAATCAATGCTTCAAGATTTACGGGCGAAGAACGAGGAAGGATACGATTACATCAGCCCCATCGATAAAGAAATGTGGATGAACACATATGATGGTGGATATCGATATGGACACATGACGACCAACTTGGCAGAGGCAATCAATTCAACCTTAAAGGGTGCACATCACTTACCAGTAGCGACTTTGGTAAAGACTATATATTTTTGTTTGGGGGCGTTTTTTGCAAAGCTCGGGGGACAAGCTCAAACTTGGATGCAAGGTGGTCATGTCTATCACCCTAAATTAGTTGCAAATCTACAGAAAAAAAATTATGCATCAAATGAAATATCTGTAACAAGCTTCTCTAGAAAGCATGAAATGTTTCGTGTCATAGAGTTGTCGCGACCTCTTCAAGGGATTGAAGTTATGTCGTTAAGAGTAAATCTAAGGGACAGAACGTGCGACTGTGGGTTTTTTCAAGCTCTGAAGTATCCATGCTCTCATGTGATAGTAGCTTTCTCGCATACACGTCAAGATTATAACCATTTTGTGGATCCCGTATACCTACTATTTGAAGTTTTTAAGGTATACGAATTTGAGTTACCCTCCATAGGTAATGATAGAGACCCTGATAAGGTTCAAGATTGGCTTCTGATTATACCAAATCCGAGTTTATTGAGGGAGTGTGGTCGTCCAAAATCCAATCGAATTCATTTTGATATGGATATTCGAGAAAGATCTAGACAATATAGAAGATGTGGGCATTGTAGAAACCCAAGACACACTAGAAAAACATGTCCACTTCTATTGCCATCAAGTAACAATTGACGAGGAAATGATGTATTTGTTTATCAAATAATAATTCTTGTACTTTAATTTGCATTTACTTCAAGTTAATGTCATTCGATAATCGTTGATGAAGATTAAAAAAATGATACAATAATATGAGATTGGACGTTTGCATTATATGTGATTATAATAAAATAGATAATAAGTGACAAACTTAAGAAAGTTATTGAACACAATTATTAAATTTTATCAAACTGATAACAATTTGGTATTTCAAAATAATTTTAAATACAACAAACTTACAATAAGTATTAAATGGTAAATGATAACCAAATTATAATAACTGATATTAAATGATAATAAACAAAATTAATTGAAATACATTAAAAAAAGTCCAACAAATTTAACAAAATAAAGTAAGTATTAAATGAGAAATAATAAAAAATTACAATTAAAAAGTCCAATAAACTAAATACAAATATAATAAAAAACAAAATCTATCAATGTCTGCGACACGAATGTGTTCCGTAGGGCGGTGGCTGTCAGTCTCGAGGAGGATTTCTTCATATCACTGGTTGTGACTCCTCACTGTCATCATTATCACCATCGTCATCGTCGTCGTCCTGAGTAGGTACATTAGATTGATGAGGAGCTGATGACGATGAAACACCTTCATAGAATAAGGACCCTGGAGGTGTATGACTGACTATCCCACCGGCCTGCGAAAACTGGGAAAACTCATAAAACCCAGACATCACTGAGTGTAAAAAACTGTACAGGAGGTGTTTGTGTTGCGGCTATGGGTGATGAGGCTGAACCCGCCAAATATCCAGCATATGAACCCCAAGTCAGATCTACAAATATAGACCCATAGTAGCCTCCAGGAGGGGTCATATGTGACGGTGGCGGCGGCGGGGTCATAAAACCAGGTGAAGGCGGCAACGGCGGCATCTGGTAATGGAAAGGCGGTGGCGGCATCATATATGGCTGCAGTATGTAAGTCGTTGGATACGGTGGCTGCTGTGAAGGTCCTGCTGGAGCAGCTGAGGTTGAACCGGAAGCACCTGCTCTCCGTTCATGAGTCGGGGGGGACGATGGTGCTGTGTCGGTGAACGTCTCTGTCGACGTCGCGGAAAGGTCTGCCCTCGTGCATCCTCGAGAAGCAGAAATGGTTTCCCATTACTGTTGAACCACTCATAATAACCGTCAGCAACCATTAAGAGGTCATCAAAAATGGGCTCTCTATGGGGAAGGCGCCGATTTCGATCCTCCCACAACACGACCCACTCATGATGCCTCACCAACCAATCTGTATCTGTCTTGCCGCGTCTATCTGTGCTATGCAACTCGTCCATATTGCGAGGTGCTTCTGGAATTGGTTGAAAACAACCAAATTGCTAGAGCACGCGATCAGTGGAGTGCCACTCGACGGTCGCATAACATATCAAGGGGATCATCGTCATCCAAACATCTGATGGTCCCCTCAACTCAGGTGGGATCACCGCCCTCACATCATCAGTAGAATATGACACTCATTCAAACTAAAACAAATATATATAATTTTTATCAAAATAATAATCTAATTATATAACTATAATCTAAAATCGATTTTTAAACATTAAAATTCATACCTGTGTGCCAGCCTTCTAATGATTTTTCCTAATTTTTTCTAAATCATCAGGTTGATCCTGATGATTTTTCCTATCAGTAGACCACATATTCGAGGAAAAAAAGTATTATATGTTGTATAAAATGATTAATATACGAAATCAGTATTACAATTACCTCAATAGTAGTGGAAATACGAATGGGTTCTTGATAACGAGACATAAAAAGGGCAATCGATATCATGCCCAAGACTGCAGCAGCATGAGACATCTGCCGATAACATTACGCCTGTAGTTAGTGGCTCGACACATCTCTCTGTACAGGAAAGCCAAAACTACCGAGCCCTAACTGAGTGATCCGACCAGTTGAAAGTCACCAAGGTGTCGCAACCACATGCAGTGATCAGGAAGCCCCAGGTGCATAGAAACATCCTCATGTGTAATTGTGCACTCTCCGCACGGAAGATGGAATGTGTGGGTCTCCAGCCTCCACCTCTCTACTAAGGCAGAAATCAGGTCTGACTCTATCTTACAATGACACTGATATCTACCTATGTAACCGAATCCAGCATCTACTAAATAAGGCAAGACATGGCTAGGTATCACTAACTTAAGATTCCTAATAAAAGGATATAATACACGGTCCTTCTCCTAAAATTAAATAATTACAAAAATTAATTCTTAATCTAATAATCATGCATTAAATAAATCAACAAATTATTCTAATAATTTAAATTAAATTAAAAACGTTAAAATGTTACTGTATCAGCAAAGTGTCGAGATATATGATTTGCATCCAAGCGAAGTAGACCGTCTGCCATTTTATATCTGCAAAAAAATTAAATAAGTAAAATATTAAATAAATTAAATACTTAAATAAATTAAATACAAAATATTAAAAATATAATAAAATATATTTTAGAAGAGATTATAAGAGTATTTGAGAGAAGTTGAGAGAAGTTGAGAGAAATTGAGAGAATTTGGTGTGATGAAAGTGATTGAGGATGAGAGTATTTATAGGGAGAATTGGGGTGTGAAGCGTCGGGGGTATGGGGGTAATTATGGGTATAGCGCGGGGCAGGGGGCGCGCCTTCCTGACGCGTGTCAGATTCACAGGTAAGGCGCGGCCCCTGCCCCGCACCTTATGTGTAATTACACACCTACCCCGTGCTTTACACACGTGTATCCATGTCAGCATAAGACGCGCTTCAGGGGGCGCGTCTTACCCCACATGACGCCAAATCAGCATATAGCACAGTGCAGAGGCGCGCTTTATTGCTAAGGGTGTTAGATCGGGAAATATAGTCTGACCGGTATAAGATCGGTAAATATATAGATCACCAGTGATTTTTCAGGAAAAACACCTAATATAGAATAGTTCATAAAAAATAAGTTCAAATTTAAATTTATTACACACATATTAATAAAACTTTTATATATTAATATATATTTTATGTAATCATATTTAAATTTTAAAATATATTTTTATTATTTAAATGAAAATTTAGCTGAAGTAATCTGGAGATGAAAATATTTCTTTGTGATTCAATGACGGACTTAAAACTCTTAAATTGAGGTGTCAATTATTTTTCATGTGATGTGAATATTTTGTTAAATATTTATCTTAATATAAAAAAAATAAAAAAAACATTTTCCTGAATAGGTGTAACTATTACTAGTATGATAGCAATGTTGTTGGCAGATTTATATAACAATGCTGAATAGGCCAAATATTTTTGCTTATACCGTTAAATATTTTGGTATAGTTACTATTATAGTAATAGAGAGGTCATAAGTTTAAGTTTGCCTAATATCCTCCATTTAAATATTTGAGGGTTTTAAGATAATTTGTGTATTTTATGTGTGTGTGTGTGTGTGTAAGGCTTTTGAATGAAATAACTTGATTATTTAAACACACACATATCTAATGCAGAATGATGGGTCTTATTTGTCGATTGTTTGGTTGATAGGGAAAAATATGAAAGCTTTATATTAGATACACGAGTATCTTTCTTATGGTTATGATTGTTTCCTGAGAAAATCTGGGGAAATCTATTCATCATTCATATATGTTATCTAGCATCAAGTGTAGCCTAAAATCAATCATTGCAAGCTACAGGTTTCATTTCATATGCCAAACTTTGCACATCAGGAGCAACTCAATGGCATGGATCAAAATAGAAAATTAAAATGTTAAAGAAATCTAGAAAAAATAACCTTAGGATCTAGCAGCCATTGCTAATGCATCTCAATTATACAGAGTAGAGCTTTAATTAGTATTACGTTTAGATGTAAACCGACCTTCAGAAAATTAGAGCTTCAATGTAAGATCCGGCAAATATGTATCAGTTCTTGGTGGTGATGCCGTTGCTACAAAACTTATATTTGAACTTCGAGTTGAATTTTGAGCGTAATCTGAAGCCAGGTTGCTGCTGGCCCCTTCATTCACCTGCCTGAAACTCCCCGGCCAAAAGACGTCAACATCATCTTCTTCCATGAATATCGGCATCCCGAAATACCCTTGATCGAGCCGTGCTCCAGCTCTTGTGTCTAGAGGCCTCTGGGATTGCATGATTCCGTGGTGCATAGAGGAATGAGCTTTGATCCCGAGGGACCGAAATGCAGAACCGTGAAGCGGCAAAGATGCCAAGCTTATATACCTATTAGACAATATCCCCATATGCATCGCACGCTTCGCCATTGACCTCTCCCTCTTATGAGCATTCTGGTGTCCACCCAGTGCCTGCGAACTATAAAACTTACGCCTGCAATAATTACAAGAGAAAACTCTCGGGATAGCGGTTGACAGAGGATTGGCCGCCACTATCTCACTACTAGTCTCACCGGTTCCTTTCATCTCGGCATCACTGGCACTGATACGGAGAGTCAGGTCTAGGGAAACAGACCCCAAATCCGGTTGATCCTTTACAGGATTTGTGAGGCAGGAAGTAGTTGCCGTGCTATCCTTTGATGGATCGGAGGATGCTTCTTGCAGACATATGTTGTTGGAAGTCACTTTGCTACCCGCTTCTGAATCATTTATGGATTCTAACCTCGGGTTCGGTGGTGTCATTCTCGGATAATTAGCAATGTCTACTGCTTGTTCCGTTTGATACCTCCGGTATGAAATGTTACAGTATTAATTAGTCAGATCTTCTACACCTGCATGCAAGTAAAAAGATGAAATGTTATACTGTTATCAATAACATGCATTGCATAGCCAGACAAAATCAAAACACAAACCAGTCAAAATAAGCATGATTTCTTGCTATGACAATAAAGCTAAACATTCACACACATATATATACTTTGTCTGAGTTTTGTGCTCGAATTGTGCAAGCCTTGTTGTAAGAACAGAAAGGATGCGACTATGTAATAAAAAGTCAATGAGCAACAAAGAAACTTCTTGATCGGAAATATTCCACATCTCTTCTGTTCAAGAATTTGGGTTTTCCAGTTTCTTGCAGACCAAGTACATAAAGAAATTCAACGACATTCAAGCAACACAAGTCGTTAATTATATGAAAACTCTCGAACTAATATTTCTAAACTTTCCATTTCCACCTAGAAGAAAATAAAACTATGCCAAAAAGACGGCGCAAATTTTCCGATGATCAGCCTGGTTTAGAATGCATTGGAAAAAAAGGTGTAATCACCTAAGGTAAAAAAAACTCTAAATTAACCTAGTGCTGAATATATTCTATGGTTTCTCATTTCTTCCTTCAACTCGTTATTTCCCGGCTTCATAGTGGTTCCAAGAGTAACAATTCCAATTATCGAGTTTTTGAGGGAACAAGATGATGAATGCAGGTGGTCAATATTCATGCCGTGGAAGTTACACTTAACTCACACCATCTGCTTCCTTGGACCATCAATCATGAATGCAACAAGATGCTTGATTCCAAAGAAAAACACAGTGCCAAAAACACTAATATAACAATTTTTTTTTACATGATTATGTTTCCTTCTCCATCATGATGTCAAATGAAAAACATCGTGGTACACGGTCGGTTTGCGGATTTAGAAGTTTCATGAGGAAAATCATTGATTCGACTCACCGTCATACAATTAATCTTCTTAGAACTAGTTAAGTGATTTAGTACCTCTAAACACAGATAAATTACTATAATCTATGCTATTGGGACTTTTTTTATTAAATCCCAAATATATGAAGTGTATTGTATCGAAACATACTCGTATCCGATACTCGCCTAAAACCGAATAACATAGGCTGCAATCTTCAATTTTAGCTACTTAGCTAAGGCTACCACCCTAACCAGAGGGACTTTAGAAATTTCTCCTTTTTCATGGTAAATATAACGCCACCATAAAGTTGAGAACTAAAGAAACAAGTAAAATTAATATATGAAACATGCATACAAATAACCCAAAAAGAAGTCATAAAAGGAAACAAGACAGATCCATAATTCGGTTAACAAGCCAGAAAGGGTTAAAGTTCAACAAAAGCCTAAGCTAAAAACAAGAATAAGCAAAATCTGAAGCTTAAAACCAGTAAACACAAATCAAAAGCTAACCCAAAAAGGGAAAAAACCAAATCCAAAAGATATAAAATAGATAGTGAAAAAATTATGAATATGGAGTTTTTTGGGGGCAGGTATTCTAGTTTTTACCACAGATAGTACAGTGATTATTGAAGAAGAAGAAGAAGAAGTTAAACAAAGATAGCAAAAGGAAACTGAAAGAAGTAGATAAAAATACACTAACCCACTGGCGCAGTGATTGTTTGAATTTTTGGGGCACTTTTTCAACATTAAACCCCAACAAAAATATGAACTTGAGTGGTGGGAAAAATCATGATATAAAACATTAAAGAGACGGGGAAAAAGCGAAGGATAGTAGTTAACACAAAAAAAGAAAGATACTACGAAAATGTTTGGTTCGTTGCTTTTCTCTATCTTTGAGGTTTTTTTCTCTCTCTCTTTCAATTAAAAAAGTTATTTGTGGTCAGATTCTTCTTTCCAATATTACCCAACTACTACACTTATCAGATAAAAGACTACCCATGCTTACTTGTGGAATTTTGCATGAAACATGAGTCTTTCATCTCAGACTAGCCCATTCTTTTCTAATCATATAAATTATAATTATATTAAGAGTCAAATTATTTTTTTTCTCTCAATGTTTTTATATCGTCTTCTTCTCTTTTCTTTATTTTTTAGCCAATGAAGATATTAATCTTAATATTAATTATCAATCATCGATATTATTATTTTTCTTTTCCTTTTTTATATTATGTCTTTGTTTTATTAAGTTTTTCACTTTTAAATGAGAGTTATTGTCTTTGTAACAAGTTTTTTTCTACTCTTGTGACACGCTCCTTATGATTTCGATAAGCTTTTTGCATACTTTTTGTGGTCGTGTTGGTGTTTCCACAAAGATCCTCACGGCATTTGCTTCCTGATTGGCTTGCCAGTGGTCACGTATTGTCAGATCCATTCTTTCGTAAATGGTCGTTTGCTAATATAATCAGACTTGTATAGTGACACGCAGTCTGCCAAACTGTTTGGTTCGCTCACCACTCCTTTATCATATCGTGAAGCGTCTCATTCGACAGAGACAATGAATTTTAAGAAGGTTACTAAATTGTTTTGATGTTTGGAATGTTTCAATCTCTTTGTATCTTTGGGTTTAATATTTTTATTTTATGTATGAGTTCGTGGTGACTATTGTCTCTAATTTTCTCTTTAAATACGTTGTAATTTTAGTTCCTTCATTTTTATTAATGAAATTCAGTTGTCATTGTTTAAAAAAAAGTCAAGTTGAATTTAAGAGAGTAAATGAGACACATATATTCAAAAATTATGTGAGTTTAATTAAAAGATTATAATCGACTTGAAAATTTAAATTAAGATTTTTTATTTTATTATATGTTTCTATATTACTCTCTTCGTCCTATTAAAATTATTTTTATTTATTTTTAAAATTTTAATTATAATTATTTTAAATAGTTAAATTTTATAAAATATATATTTAAAAATATTTGATTGAAGGTTTTTAAAATATGTAATTTTATATTTTTATTAATCAAATTAAAAAATTTCTTAAAAATCTCAAGGAGGAAAAATTTTAGTAGGACAAAGAGAGTACTAAATTACATTTTTTTATTATTTTATATATAATTGAATAAAAATAGATTAATTAAACTAGACTTTTAAGTTTTAATAAAGAAATCAATAAACAAATTTAATCTAGTGGAATAATTTGATTAAATTTCAAGTTGAATTTGAATTTAAAAACTAAAATTTGAGAGTTTAAATTAGATGTCAAATCTCAAATTTTAAATCAAGCTTAAAATTATCAATATTCTATGTTAACTCAAGTAGATTACACTCTTAGTTTTGTTTTACTCTTCAACAAGAAATAAAATTCTTTTAATAAGATAGTGACATGTGTCTTCACCTAATTGGATTAAATTTATTAAATTGACAAAATTATGACCAAAATGATAGAATGTATAAATATCGAGGATCAAATATGCAATTATACCAAGTTTTTTAACTGTCACTTCATCTCCTCCGTTAAATATTAACGGCTAAATATTAGTGACTTTGATTGAATGCATTTAAATAGTTTAGTAGTTTGATTGACAAAATTTAAAATATCAATGGTAAAAGTAAAAGGCTAAATAGTTAAGTAGTCATTGGTATAGTTTACCCAATTAAAAAACCCTAAATATTTTTCCTTATTTAAATAATTTACCTTTATATTTTATAATTAATTTATAATTATACATTGAGTCATTTAGAATTTTAAATTTTTATAAATTAAATTAATAGTATTTAGTGGTGCTCATCGGTAATAGTGCTCAACGGTGCTCGTCAAGCGTTGTAAAATTTATATCTAAGGAAAATTCTACAACCTCGACGAGCACCAATGATCACCACTAACGATAAACACCATTAATTTAATTTATAAAAATATAAAATTCTAAAGTCCTTAATGTATAATTATAAATTAGTTGAAAATTTAAAGGTAAATTATTTAGAATAAAAGGTAAATTATACTAATGACCACATAACTATTGCTCCTTTTTATTTTGACCACCATTTTTTATATTTTGTCAATTAGGTCACTCAACTATTTAAATGCATTCAGTTGATCCACTTGTCGTTAATATTTAACAGAAAAACTAATGTGGCAGTTAAAATATTTGATATTATTACATATTTGATCCATGTTACTGTTATATTCTATCAATTTGGCCATAATTTTAATAAATTAAAATAAACTTAACTCTCAAATCAAGTGGAGTCGACATAGTCTTTTTTCATCTTATTCTTTCAATTTGCATGAAAACAAACAAGAAAGAAAAGAAAACTTACAAAAACTTAATTTCATTTTTGAGAAATTAAAAAAAAAATCAAATGCTTTGATTTCAAAAATACATCTATATTAAGTAAAATCAAAATTAAACTCTTTAAAAACTAATAGAAAACAATTACATTTTACTTATAATGTGACAAATTAGGTAAAAGTAAAATTATAATATTTGGATAACTGAGTAATTAAAAAAATAAATATTTTTAAACAAAGGTCTAAAAATATAATTACAAAGTAAAATAAAACATCTAATTTTAACTCCTAAAATCATTGAAAGATATAATTTAAACACGTGAATTTGTCACACTAATTGTCTTGCATGTATTAATGTAAAGTATTTTAAGCTAAAAAAAGAAGAACATGGAGAAATGCTGATACGTCTTGTCGAAAAGCATTGACATGTTTATTTTACTTTATTATTAGAAATAATAAAAGCCAATAAAGAGAAAAGAAAATTTGTACTAGCTGACATTAAATTGGATTCCTCTCTAATTAAGGTCAAATTTATTTTAATTTATTAAAATTAGGACCAAATTGGTAGAATATATAAGTAATAGTGATTAAATGTGTAATTACACTAAATATTTTAACTGTCACGTTAGCTTTTCCGTTAAATATTAACGACAAATGGTTTTATTGAATGCATTTAAATAGTACTTTAGTGACCTGATTGACCAAATTTAAAAAATGATTATCAAAATAAAAAGGGACAATAGTTAGGTGGTCACTGACATAGTTTACATTTTATTTTAAATAATTTACCTTGAAATTTTCAACTAATTTATAATTATACGCCGAATCCTTTAGAATTCTAACATTTTATAAATTAATTTGTTGATGCTCATCATTAGTGGTGTCCATCGTCGCTCGTCTAGTGTAGAAGAATCATTATATATCTAATCATTAATTTAACATTCAAATTAAACAACATAATCTAAGTTTGCTTTTCATATCTTATTGTTTATAGGAAAATTCTATAGTACTCGACGAGTAGCGATGAGTACAATTAACGACTAACACGATTAATTTAATTTATATAAAATTAAATTCTAAATGACTCAACGTATATTTATAAATTAGTTAAAATTTTAAAGATAAATTATTTAAAATAAATGGAAACTATACCAGTAACCACCTAACTATTCCCCTTTTCATTTTGACCAATATTTTTGAAATTTTGTCAATCAGGTCACTCAACTATTTAAATGCATTCAATTAAGCCATTTTTCGTTAATATTTAACGGAGAAGATGATGTGGAAGTTAAATTATTTGGTATAATTACACATTTGATCACATTTACTTATATATTCTATCAATTTAGTCCTAATATGAATAAATTGAGATAAACTTAACCCTCAAATCTTTAATTTTAAAAGATTTTAAAAGTTACAACATATTCTATATTTATAACAAGACAAAAATTATACTAGAAATTTCATTTATGGTTCTTAGAAGTATTCCATCAATGGTACCATAATCTCTTTTGGTTTTAGGGAAAATATAGTTGATTAGTCTATGCATATAAAGTTCACATGACAAATTTTTATCCTACGACTATTTGTATATGTCTATTTATAAATTAGTTAAAAATTTAAAGATAAATTATTTAAAATAAAGGGAAACTATATCATTGACCACTTAACTATTCCCCCTTTTAATTTTGACCAATATTTTTGAAATTTTGTCAATTAGGTCACTCAAATATTTAAATGCAATCAATTAAGCCATTTGCCGTTAATATTTAACGGAGAAGATGATGTGGAAGTTAAAGTATTTGGTATAATTATACATTTGGTCACAATTACTTATATATTCTATCAATTTAGTCCTAATATGAATAAATTGAGATAAACTTAACTCTCAAATCTTTAATTTTAAAAGTTACAACATATTCTATATTTATAACAAGACAAAAATTATACTAGAAATTTCATTTATGGTTCTTAGAAGTATCCCATGGTACCATAATCTCTTTTGGTTTTAGGGAAAATATAGTTGATTAGTCTATGCATATAAAGTTTGCATGACAAATTTTTATCCTACGACTATTTGTAAATGACATTATACTAGAAAAAGATGATATAGTCTAACCTGTAAATCTAAGAAATTTTTATCCAGTAAATTTCTAATAGAAAAAGTTGACATATATTTCTTTCACGTTTGACACAGTATTCCTTTAAATTTTTAAAAATTCATCTCTTACCATTAGGATAAATAACCTCAGTGACCGAAAATTCCTTATAATATACGATTTTGACCAACTTTTTTTCGATTTGCCAAAATGACCAACAAAATCGCAATGCGATCTCTAAATCGCAACGCGATCTCTAAATCGCAACGCGATCTCCAGTATCGCAAATCAGTTTCCAGATTCGCAACGTGATTTTGACTATCGCATTGCGATTTTAGAAAATCGCTGCGA